AAACGAGTTATAGAAGAAGAGAAAAGAGAAGATTTTTAACGGTTTTTTCGATATATCTCGAAAAGTAACAAAGCAATCGATACTTTCAAAAAATCAGTCGATAGATCTTTTTAAAACCTACAACTTTCTCATTTAAAATTTTTCAATCCGTGCTATATTTTTTTAGTTATTTTAGAAAAACCGTTTTTTTCAACTATGCGATTTTTTTTAACCATGTTCGCCATATTGGATCGAGTTTAAAGAACAAGAAACTCAATTTAGAATTTAATTTTCTATACGGTCATATTTTTTTTGTCCAGGTAATAATTTCTGTAAGCATTTCTCTATAATGCTTGGACTAACTCCTCTTAGAAAAAAGTTGTGGGCCAAAAACCAAAAGGAAAAAAAATCGCATTTTTTCGTTTTTTTTTACTCGTTTTTTGGCCATATTTTTGGCATTTTCCAACTTATTTGTGGAAGGTCGAAATGGGCGGTGACTATTAGACGCCTTCATTATAGCCATATTTATCTATCGCACGGATTTCTATGGCTTACTTTGTGGTCTCACGTAACGGCCCATGAACCATGGGGACTTTCCGACCCTGTATTTCGAAAATGAAGCGTCTCTGGAAAAAAAAATTATACTTGATTGTTTTCTTATTTTTTTATGAGGAATATCTCCTTAAAGTTTGTCGACTTAATCCTGAAACAACCTGTATAATCAACAGTTTTTAACTACTTATCCTTTTATTTGAGTTTCAAATTAAAAATGATTGCCATAGAAAATATATTTTAATAAAAATACGTTACTTTACTATTGTACTACCCTTCGACCGATCCTTCCCCGCGCGGGACATTTAATTTTGGGCTTAAAATCGGGACGTCCCGCCAAAATCGGGACGTCTGGCAACGCTGGTATCGGTCCAGTTCTACCACACATTTTTTTCCCGTGGGGCCGTGAAATCAATTAAAATTCGTTGTCATTAGAATATACTAGATAATGCTTATGATTTTTTTTACGAACTTCTATTTATTTTAGTCTACACTACTGCTTTATTGATTATTATTGGAATACACTTAAACTAAACTAATGAGATAAAAATTATATCCCCTGCTATCTATTTGAACGCTGTGGGATACTCGTGCATGTTATATGATACCGGCTTGTTATACAACTCATTATCCACGGATACGTTTACACCACCAACACCTCCTTCTGTGTTGTTCATGTGTTTCTGAGTGAAGAAGATGTAGCGAGTTGTTAAGCTCTGAGAAACGCAGTTCACGAGATAGGCCTGGTTTCTGGAAGCTTGACCTTTGTTTAATTTCTTCAATGATACAAAGTTTACTGCCACGTTGAAGATGCACCAGAAAATCCAGAGGGACGTAAGGAATATCAGGAAGCGCAGCAAACTTTGGAGGTAGCTGATCTCTTTTTTCTGAGACTCGACGGTTTTGGAAAGCTCATCCTCGTGTTTCTTTTCAAGAGACAAGTGATGTTCTTTATTGTTGTCACTTTCCTCATGTTGTTGAGGCACCACAGCTGTCTCAAGGGGTCTGTTTTTATTTTTTTTATTGTGAGGTGGAGAAGCGGTGTTGGCGAAATGGGAAGGTGGTGGTTTTGTTTCAAAATTCACGAGTTGCTGTTGGTTATTGTCTCTTTCAATTTCTCCACTTTCTTCCGGGAAAACTATATTGGTCGATTGGGGAAACTGTAGATCTTTTTCCGAAGCCACAAGACCGTCTTTGTCAGTGACCCAAACGGATTCTCCACACAGTTTTGTTTCTCTGAGTAAAGTCAACTCGATGGAATTATCCGTTAGAGTTGTATGCTTTGGACTTGCAACCTCCTTTTCGTAGCCAATATACTCTTTCTGAATAGAATTGCATAGGTCGGTATAGGTCCAAAATGCATGATATTGGTTACAGATCCCAGAACTGTATTTACAATCTAAAGGAAGGCCTTCCGCTGTGTCTTTCATTAAATCAACTATTTGTATCTTCTCACACACCTTTGGATTTGTACTATTTCTAAATCCAAAAAACTTTTCCCTGCACTTAGTCGACAAACTACTCGAGTTATATTTTGGGTTAACTTCATCGTATCCTATTTCTCGGCAAAATTTTTGGTAATTCCAAAAACAGTAAAAAATCGTAACGGTGGAAGTATATTTGTAAATATACCACGATTTTTTTGTGTCAACGCCCTGTTTTAAAAAAGAGTTCGTGCTACAAGCTTCTGGTAGAACATCCTGAAATGTCAACAAGTTTCCTTTTACTGCCTTAATATAGTTTGTTGAAACTACAATACCATTGTGGTTGGTTTTCCATACTTCAGTATCGCATAGTTTAGTTCTTTCTGTTAATAATAAACTAACTCGATTTTTACGAATAAATTTCATTTCATTTTGCCCAACATTCCAAACATCCACCATATCATTGTACATTCGAATTAGATTTTGACAATTCTCTTTGTAATCCCAAAATACGTATTTTCCAACAACTGAATCATAACAGCTTTCTTCTTTATACCGACATGTTTTGTTGCTGACGAGCGTGATATTATTTTGGAGCAAGTTGACTCGGGCTGGTACTTGACACAGCTTGACTTTTATTCCTAAATTACTATTTATACCTTCGTTTTTTTGCCGGCACTTCGAGAGGATGTCTTGATAATGATTTGTAACTGGTTTACCATTATTAAAATTTTCACATTTGAAGTTCTCGTCAACGTTACGAAAGCAGTAAAAAGAATGAGTCTCTACGTTTCCATTGTAGATGTAATAAAGAGCCTGTTGATTTTCTTTTCTACATGTCGATACTCGAGAATAAGTCGATGTTACTAACAGCAACCCCTGCAGTACTGCTACTGTTCTTTTCATCCTTAAATCAAAAAAGTTAAAAATGAAAGTTTGGAATATTGATTACAACATTTTTTTATATTATACATTAAAAATTATCTCTTGAGCGATTCAAAAACTATTATAAAAACTCATTTTTAAAAATATAACAATGAAATTTGGGGTTCTTGGAGTAACAGAATATGAATATAGGCTTTTTAGGTCGCTACACCTTAAACCTTTGTTTTTTTTTGCCATTATATCATATTATTTTTTCTGTTAGTAGAGATTTTGAAGTAATGTAGATATTTTTTTTTGGAGTATCACTTTATTTACTCTAAATATACATATATGACGACTAAAACTGAAAATAATCACTAAATTGTTTGCTTTGCCGGTTTGTTGTACAACTCGTTGTCCACAGACACGTACAACTGAGACGCTTGGACATGCGGTACAACTTTTTCCAATTCCTTTCCCCGCCGAGTCGAGTTGAGGTAGTAAGCTGTCAAGCTCTGAGACAGGCAGTATATGAGGTTGACCTTTTCCTTTGAACTCCGCGTCTTGTTCAGCCTCCTCAACGACAACAAATTAACTACGACGTTGAAGACGTACCACAGAACGCAGACGAAAACGACAATCAATAAGTAACGCAGTGTATTTTGAAGGTTGACGATTTCATCATCCTGTTTGAGGATCTCGCCCTCGTAAGTTTCGTCTCGATATGACGACAACATTGAGGAGGTTTTAGATGGGGAGAACCGCAAGTCTCTTTCAGATGCTACCAGTCCGTGTTGGTCGGTATACCAGATGGTTTCACCGCATAGTATTCCTGTCTTTGACAAAATTAACTTGGTCGAGTTAACGTCTTCTATCACACACTTACTATTCCCACAATTCTCCTCGTAGCCTTCGTATAATTTTGTAATATCGCCGCATCGGTCGGTATAATGCCAGAATATATTCAACGATGTACAGAGGCTTTCGTTGTATTTGCATTGTTCAATGTCTTTTAACATGTTTTTCTCTAAATCAACTTGGTGTGTCCGTCGACAAATTTCCACTTTTGTGTTTCCGTGCCTGCAAGCTGGAGAGTCGCAAAAGTGATCCTTGCACTGATTCGCGAGGTTTATGCTATTTTCTGAAACAAGATAGCCGAGGTTCAGGTCCTTGCAGGACTTTGTAGAATTCATAAGGCATAGATGAACTGTTAAGTCTGTGGGATATTTGTAGATGTACCACTTTTTCGACAGGTCAGTTGCGCTTTGCTGTACAACAGATATTTGTCGTTTGTTTCTACTATTGCAAAACTCTTCCATGTTACTCTGCAATTTTGACAGCTGCCTTTTATCTGAAATTGTGGAGTTAAAGAGCAGAGATTTCGAAGAAACGATAATGCCATCATAATTCGTTTTCCGTACGTTATAACCACAAAATTGAAATGTCTCTGTTAATATTAAGCTAGTGGTTTGTCCTGAATCCTGAATGAATATTCTTTGGTCTTTTACGTTAGTCCAAGCATTGAAGATATTGCTATGTATAAAAGATATTCTCTTACATATATCAGTGTCAGTCCAAAAAATATATTTGGAATCGTCTTCGTCGTAACAATTTCGTTGACTGTACCGACATGACTTATTGTCTCTAAACGTAATAATATCCTCTGATAAGTTGACACGTGCTGGTATTTTGCATAACGTGGCGTTTCTTTGTTGACGGTTATACTGTCTGTTTAGTTGTACAAACAAATTTAAGCAACTTTTGGGAAGATATGGGGAATCTGTCTGTATTTCACCGTTATCGGAATTTTTGCAATGGGAATCGTCTTCGTTGGTATAAGAACAGTAGTAAACATCAACCTCCACTTTTGTATTGTAAATGTGATACCAGTTCTTCTCTATACTCTTTTCACATATTCCTTCTGCACGTGTTAGCGCCACCAACAACGCTCCCTGGAGTACTCCTATTATTTTCATCCTTAAATAAAAAAGTAGATAAAAATTTCAAGTATTAGCGATTGCTGAAATCTTAATTATAAATCAAATCTTCATTACTTCTATTTGTTAATTATTTTTTTCTTGAAAGTCGAACTTTAAATATTTCTAAATTGATAGAGTCTACTTGTGACTCGTGCTTGCCTTAGGATAACGGTTGCATACTGAGCAAAATCAACAAATTAGATTTTGAATAGTACTTTGGAAAAATTATCAAATATTTGTGATGCGACGGTATATAAAAATTTGGATATATAAAAAAAAATTGATATTGGTCAGTATTCTGGAAAGGCCCTGTACAACAATTTTATATTTAACTTTTTATTTCTAAGAATCTGATATTAATGCGTGGGCGACTTGGTAGGACAGTTTATTATAACAGTTTATTTGATAAATATGTGTTTATTTAACACTCAGTATAACGATACAGTAACAGTAACAGTAATAGGTAGCGTCTGTAATACCGACTATATTGTCGTCACACGTACTGGCTAGGTACTTATCACTGGTTATGTCACTGCAAGTGAACAAAGTCGACGTTCGATCGCCTCTTTAACGGGAACGTGTCGAAACCTGGACGTAATTTTCAGTTCAGACGACGTTGTCTGGCAAATTTCGTTTAATAGCAACTTCATTTTAGGCAGGAAATTTTTTAAGGGAAAATCCTACATATTTTGGCGTATATAGATGTGATATTTTTTTACACTTTACAAAAAAACACTCGGTACAAATTATCGATGATTGTAATCTGAAATTTCAACAATATTTCGTTAAGTAGTTCTTTTTGATTAGAGTTATTATCGTTTACGTTTATATGAAAAAATATTTTTAATTAAACTTTTCCGGAAGAAATTATTTATATTTTTATACTGTTTATTTGGAAAATCCGAGATATTTTTGCCCAATTTTAAATTATTTCACTTACTAGTTTTTAAAATTTAAATTTAAAAAAATTAAAAATATTTTTTGAAGTTTAACACTTCTCACTCTTTTTAACGAAGCATCATAGATAAACACCCTATATATTAAAGACTAACTTAAATTCTTAAGAATAAATTGTGCTCGTATACTGTACTCTTGAAATTGTTTGCAGTTGGGTAGATTTATTATAATTAATAATTTACAGATATTAAAATACATGTTGTGTATATGGTTACAAAATTATAACTTACAGAGAGACAACAAGACACATTTATTTTTTTTATGTTTGTAACTTTCAGTTTAAATGTTGCTGTGGTTTATTATACAACTCGTTGTCCACAGACGCGTACAACTCAGAAGCTTTAACACTGGTAACACCTCTCGGTGTCTTCGTTTCTTCCAAAAACAGATACCGAGATGTTAAACCCTGAGACACACAGTTCATAAGCCGAACCTTTTCCCTATACGCTCGATTCCTGTTTAACCTCCTCAATGACATAAAGTTTACTACAACGTTGAACAAGTACCACAGAACACAAAACAGGACGAGAAACGTCACGCAGAACAGTGCCGTTCGGAGCTTCGTGATGTCTTCGCTTTGCTGGTATATAAGCAGATCGAGATCTTCGTCTGTTTTCCAAACGGAAAACTGTAACTCCGTTTCAGAAGCAACGAGACCCTGTTGGTCGGTGTACCAAATGTTTCTCCCACATAGCTCGTCTTCCCGTAGTAGAATCAACTCGGTGGAATTATTGTCTTGAATGACACACTTTGCGCTGCCGCATTGTTTCTCGTGGGCTTGGTACGCCTTTTCGATGGCGTCGCATCGGTCGGTGTACCGCCAGAACATATTCAGCTCTGTACAGACACCTTCGCTGTACTTACATTTCTGAGGTAACCCTCTCAACAAGTCGTTTTCTAGATCAACTTGCACTGTTGTGTCACATACCACCATTTTTGATTCGTACGAGCAAGGTGAAATATTGCAAACATTCTTCTTGCATTGGTTCAAAAGATCCGTATTATTTATTTCAGTGAGGTTCATTTCCTGGCAAGAACTTGTAACATTCACGAGGCATATGTGAACTGTGACGTTTGTGGGATATTTGTAGACGTACCATGCTTTTGGAATTCGTTTCTCACTTTCTTTATATCCACAGAATCCTTCCAAGTCACCCTTAAGGTGTGGGCTTCCTGCTCGTTTTTGGGTACGGGTGAGGTTCTCCGAAACTATAACTCCTTCGTAGTTAGTTTCCCACATATCAAATTCGCATAATTCAAATTTTTCCGTCAGCGTTAAATTGGTTATATTGTTTGAAATGAATGTGGTTTGATCTTGCACAGAGTTCCAAACGCTGAAGTTGCCGTTGCTTACTAAAATTAAATCCAGACAAATGTCACTTACAATCCAGAATACGTCCTTTGAAATGTTCTTATTGTGACATGTCCCTTTACGGTACAGACACAGGGTGTTGTCTGGAAATTTGACCGTCTTTCCTCGCATGGTGATACGTACCGACAATTCGCATACGTTGACTTTCAGCCTATCCCAACGAAAAAACTTTATAACATTTACGAAAACACTATTTTGACAATTATTATAAATGCCTTTTGGAAAATAATCTGTCAGTAATTTTCCCTTGCGCCTTGTACACTCTAAATCTTCATGATCACTCTGAGAACAGTAGTAGGTTTTTAGTTCGACACTAGAGTTATAAACGAAGTAATAAGTTTTATCTGGCTCCTGGTGACAATGTCGTTGGGAACAAACTGGCACCACAACCAAAAGCAATCCTTGTAGTACCGCCACTGTTATTTTCATCCTTAAATAGAGACAATATTAATAGGTAGAGCGAGCTTCACATTTCAAATATTTGCCTGCTTTTTTATCCAAATTCTATTATTCTATTGAAGTGTCACATATTTCTGTAGCGTTTTTCATGACTGCAAGACATTTCAATCGCGTTTTTCCGTAAATTTAGTAGCCTTAAACGATTTATCTAAGACTAAATTCAACAGATAAGGAAAAGTTTGGTTTGGTTTAGTCTTGAATTAGACTTGCATGATTTTAAAGCTAAACTATCGACTGCGAACGAAGTTTAAGAGATATATTGACGAAGAAAACTTACCTCGCTGCTTATTCCTCCTAAATCACTGTAATTTCCACTTCACAAACTACAAACAAATGTTCTGTATACATGGTGCGCATTTCGATATGGTGCACCACAACACGCTTCCTGTGATTTTAAGAATTTTCTAGATAAGTGAGTTAGTCATCGTTAGATTGCCTGAAATAACATTAAATATTCAACTTATTTTTATGTTTTATTAAAATATTACGCATTTCTTGTATATTATAAGTATACAGGGTGTTTTCACTTAATCATCAGACAAGAAAACAAAAAGCAATATTTTACAAATTTAAAATTAACTCACATTACACTATACGAATTTACAATCTTTGGCTTTTATATACAGGGTGTTCCATATAAAATTCTCCAAAAAGCCTTAAAATCGTGAGCGACTTTGCAGCATAATTGCTGGTTTTCGAGATATTTAAACCAGAACTTCTGCTCATGTTTTTTACTCCATCGTAAGGGTTAACAAATCTAAAAAATCCTATCAATTCAATTGAATTTCTTTAAATCAACTTGATATCTTTATAATAAAGTAAATATACAAGAGCTGATAACAGAATATATATTTTTTTAAATTTTTTTAATTATTATCAAAGTATTCTCATCATAATTAAACGAAGATACATAATTATATTTTTCCTTAATCAGCCCAGTTTAATAAAAAAAAGTTCCAAAGTACATAACGATCTAAATACTTCAGAAATGAAATTACTTGTACAGGGTGACTCAAACTCGATAGTATGGACCTACTGTGAGGATACAAAAAAATTAAATAAAATTTGAGACACGTGGTGTTAAAAGGGATAAGGTAAGCTCCATTTTCAATCGAAAGTAATATCTTTGGTGTTTGACAGAAATGACTAATGACGTCATCAATTATATTCTTTCCAGAAACATAATTCTTCCAAATTCTTTTCCTGTTAAAAAGCTCTCTTTTTTCTAATAAACTTTTATTAGGGAAATTTCTCTGTATTACTTCCCATTTAAAAGTTATAAGCAATATCGTCCTAAAGAGTCTCAAAAGAAATACCACCTAAAAATCACATTAACGGTGGAAGGATCAAGTAGTCATTCGAAAATAATTGAATGTTCGTTGTTTTAACACTCTATTTAACACTACGTGTCCCTAAATTTGATTTAAATTTTTTGTATTCTCACAGTAGACCAACACTATCAATTTTGTGTTCGAGATAACGGGCTTAGAGTTTTAAAGAGAACACCCTGTATATGTATATTTGACACAGTTATCCACTTATTCATTTGTCACGCTTACAATACAATTCATTTTCAACAGACGCGTATGTGCTAGATTCTCGAGCACCTAAAGGCCTCGAAGCATTTTCTTCTTGATGGAATCGCAAATAACGCATCGTTAAACTTTGAGAAATACAGTTTATAAAACATACTTTTCCCCTGGTTCGAGATTTCCTTGATTTCACTAAAGAAGTAAAGTTGATTACCACGTTCAACAGATACCACCCACCACAGATTATAAGAATCAAAATCATGTAATTCAGCAATTTTTGCAGAAAACCGATTTCCTTTCTGTGTTCGTAGATCGCGTTTCTGAGAGAATCACCTTTGATTTCCGTTTTCGGGTTGGAAATTTTCTTTTCAGTGACGAAAGAGTGGTTTTGGTCAACATACCACACTTTCGCGTCACACAAAAATCCTTGCCTCCTTAAACTAAGTGTTCTGGATCTATCTTCTTGAATCAAACACTTGGCGCCCTCACATAGCTCTTCGTAACCTTTGAATGTACTGTGGAAAGCACCACAACTATCAATGGCCGACCAAAACGTTTTGTTGGACAAGCACAGACCTTCGCTGTACTTACAGTTCAAAGAAAGTCCCGTCACTTGATCTTTCTCAAAATCTATCTTCATGTTTTTCTTGCAGACTACATTTAATTGCTGACTCATGCCAAACGAGGAACCGCACCTGCTCAACAGGTGGGAGTTATTTTCGGGTGTAATTTCGTCAAAATTCCCACCCCCGCAAGAGTTTTTAGGGGTCGCAACGCAAAAGTAAACTGTAACGTTAGTTGGGTATTTGTAAACGAACCACACTTTTGGTGGTTTTGTAGGAATTTGCTTATTTTGGATTGTAATATCGCATTCTTTGGGTATAAGGATACTGTTTAACTTTTGTTTGTTCTGTGTTTCTAGCATTGTGGCATTATTTTCCGAGACAACAATGCCTTCGTAATCGGTTTTCCACATCTCGACGCCGCATAATTTAAATTTTTTTGTTAACAGTAAACTAACATGTTCGTTTTTAATGAACTTGGTTTCGTTCTGTCCAAAAGTCCAAACGTTAAAGTAGTTTCTGTGTATTATAACTAAATTTTCACATGTGTATTTCTTCATCCAAAATATGTTTTTCGAAAGATTTGTATTATAACATAAACCTTTTTGGTATGGACAGGTCATGTTGCCTTCAAATTTAACTGTACCCTCGAGCAAATCAAGGTGTGCTGGTAGTTCACAGAGAATGTGTTGGAATTTTTTACCAGGAAGATTGGCTGCTTCTGAGGTACAGTGACGGAAAATTTCTTGTGACGGAGGTTTCACCTCAGCATTATTACCACAGGGAGAATCCTGCTCAGGATTGTGAAAACAATAATAGGTTGGAATTCTAATATTTGCTCTGTGAACGTAGTACCATGTTTTCTTTCCTTCTTTCCGACATTTTTCTTGACAGTACGTTAATGTCGTCAACATCAGAAGTCCCGACAGTACTAAAGGAATTTTCATCCTTAAATAAAAACATCCCTGTATAAAACATCCTTCCAATTTGACACAAATTTTAAACTTATGATTGACTTAGTTCGATAGAAAATTTAAATAACATCTAATACTTTTTATAATTGTTTATTTACCCTTGACCTGAACAGATTACAAAGAAATGTGCTTTTGGCAAAAAATGTTAATGAACATTTAAAAGGTACAGGGCGTGTGTCAAAAAAGAAGCCTATGAATCTATGCTGTCATAAATTTTCGTGCAAATTGTAAAACCTTACCTTTCCATCTAATTATTATATTATAAAGAACACTATATTGTAAATTTCACTTATCAACTGGTGTACCAACGTTGAATTTACTTTTAGCTGACGCTCGTATCATTTGCCGCATCATATGTGCTTCCTGTGGCGAGATTTGAATAATTTCAGTAGATAAATAAACAAATGAGGAATGAATATAAGAAGTTAACTTCAAAGAAAAAGTACCTCAAAATTTATTCATTTTCAGAAATCACGCAACTAAAATAAAAACTATTTCAGAAATCTAAATCATTTTTTTTTAAAGAATAAAAAAAATTCTCAGTCTATTTCGACTCGTATATTCAATGCTGTTACATGTTTTCAGAGAAGCTTTAAGGCTAGAGGTATCACAGATAACTACTATCACTGTTTTCCTAATAATAGAGCAAATATAATAATATTTAATATAAAAAAACTTACCTTAAGATGCGGGTTATAACACAGAGCACTGCTTATATGTTAGTTGATGTACCGACAGTCTATAAATATTTGAATATAGTTGACCACAACTTGTTTCCTTCATGAAATTTACGTCATCAAAAAAAATTAGTCACAATTGCATATCTAATGTAACGTTTTACTAACGGTATGTTTCAAAAAATAATCAGAATTGCCAATGAAAATTATAAACAAGAATCTGCAATATATATATTTATTTTTTTCGTCTCCATATTCGAACACAATAAATTTGAAAAGCTATACTGCGTGTATCTTAAATATGTACATTTATTTTAAGGATGTCTACAGTGTGTTATTTAGAACATATAAAAATATTTTCTTATTAAATAAAATAGTACTGACTTTTCAAAAGACAGTTGCATTATCTGTTACAAACATTTTATAGTTTTATGTAACTTCAACAGGATGAATTTTTGATTTTTCACATTCTTCGGAGCTCTACGCCATCATCAACAACGGGCTTTTTAGGCATTTGCCGTTTTTTATATTTCGTACACAAGTAAGCGACGCAGATCCCTACTTTAAATACCGACCAAAGACCGGAGATCGATAAAATAATAAGTATGAAGTATTCCTTGATCCCCAAGACCTGTAACGTACCAAAACCAGATTCTAGATTTGGTAGAGAGGAAGTAGAGGCTAAAAAACCTTCCTGGTCACTGTACCACATGTGCTCACCACACAACTTCCCTTCCCGAATTAAAGCAAATTTGGTGGAACTGTTTTTTTGAATCACGCACTTGGCGTTACCACAAAGTCCCTCGTAACCCTCGTAAACTTTTTGAAGAGCACCACATCTGTCCATGGGCGACCAAAACGTTTTGTTGGACGAGCACACACCTTCGCTGTGCTTACAGTTGGAAGATAGTCCCGTCACTTGATCTTTCTCAAAATCTATCTTCATGTTTTTCTTGCAGACCACGACGTCTAATTCCTGACTCATGCCAAACGAGGAACCGCACCTGCTCAACAGGTGGGAGTTATTTTCGGGTGTAATTTCGTCAAAATTCGCACCCTCGCAGGAGTTTTTAGGGGTCGCAACGCAAAAGTAAACTGTAACGTTGGTTGGATATTTGTAAACGAACCACACTTTTGGTGGTTTTGTAGGAAATTGCTTATTTTGGATTGTAATATCGCATTCTTTGGGTAGGATACTGTTTAACTTTTGATCGTTCTGTATTTTCAGCATAGTGGCAATATTTTCTGAGACAACAATGCCTTCGTAATCGGTTTTCCACATCTCGACGCCGCATAATTTAATTTTTTTTGTTAACAGTAAACTAACATGTTCGTTTTTAATGAACTTTGTTTCGTTCTGTCTAAAAGTCCAAACAGTAAAGTTGTTTCTGTGTATTATAACTAAATTTTCACATGTGTATTTCTTCATCCAAAAAATGTTTTTCGAAAGATTTTTATTATGACAGTAACCTTCTTCGTATGGACAGGTTATGTTGTCTCCAAATTTAACTGTGCCGTAGAGCAAATCAAGATGTGCTGGTAGTTCACAGAAAATGGATTGGAATTTTTTACCAGGAAGATTTGCTGCTTCTGAGATACAGTGACGAAGAATTTCTCTTGATTTAACTTTCACCTCAGCATTATTACCACAGGGAGAATCCTGCTCAGGATTGTGAAAACAAGAATAGGTTGGAATTCTAATATTTGCTCTGTGAACGTAGTACAATGTTCGCTGTTTTTCTTTTCGGCATATTTCCTGGGGATATGTTACAGCCACCAGCATCAAAACTACCACAGTTGTTTTCATCCTTAAACAAAGACAGGCCTTATCGACACTAGTTGTAAAATAATCTTTACTTAACATTTTTATGTGGGGTGACGAGTGATGTTTACATATAATTTTGTTCTATTAACATTAATAATTCCACGCGAGAAGAGCAGCTCTGTGGTGAAAGAATACTAATTAAGTAAAATGTGAAAACAAAAGGATCTCTTTGCAGCAGCTGTTTTTTGCGTGCTTAGTATCTGTCAAGGGTGATAATAGAGCAGCAAGAATACAAGATATTTCTTTCAATGCATCAACAACAGATGCATCAGCTGTGTTTTTTTATTAGCTATAATTATTTAGACGTACCTATTATTTTTAATGTTTATTTTGGACAATAATGTATTACTAATTGTTTGCTGGGTATTGTTGGTATAATGTAATGTAGTCCAATTAAATGGGCCTTTAAATCGCAATTTTGGTCAACTTGCCTGAATTTTTTATATAAGTTAGTTTGAGGTGTACAGGGTGATTCACAAATGGTGACCAAAAATGAAACCTCGTATTCTTTGCTGAATTTTAAGGAGAGTCCTTCCTGTAATGTTTTTATCTAGGACGCTTCTTTAAAAAGATACAGGGTGTTAAACTTCAAAAAATATTTTTTAATTTTTTTAAAGTATTAAAAAACTAGTGAGTGAAATAATTTGAAATTGGCCACATGTATTTATGTAAACATTGTCCAAAATTTGAGGTTTTTTAATAAAATTTACATGCTCCAGTGGCGGAGATACAGGGTATCCGTGGCATATCTTTCTAGATAAAAACTTTATAGGAAAGACTTAAAATTCACAAAAAATACGAGGTTTCATTTTTGGTTACCATTTGTGAATCACCCTGTATAATAACAATACCTAAGTGACAGAAATTTTTTTTCAACCCCTGCTAGGGGTGAAAAAAGATAAAATAAAGGGGGTTTTCAACATAACTCTAAAGGGCAAAAGAGGTAAGAGCTAAAAAAATTCTTATAAAAGTTGTAGAGCATAAAATTCATGAATGGTATATTGACTTTTTCTTGTACAATTAAAATTAACTACATTTTAAGGGATGAATTCAGAAACTCAAAAAATCATAACAAGCAGAAAAATCAATGAGTTTTATATATTTTTTAAAATTTACTCTAAAAAATGTAAACTATCACTTCAGAGAAATAGATATATTTCTTAATTTTTAATAAAAAAGCTATAACAATTTCATAAGGGGAACGTGAATTTTTATCTTTGTCGTAAAACAAAATTTCGAAAGCAATTTTTCATTATTTAAAATAATCAATCGAATGGCATAGAAAAAAATTGTTGTAGTGTTAAATTATAAAAATTAACGATTAAAAAATTGAAATTGTTATAACTTTTTCATTAAAAATTAAAAAACATATCTGTTTCCTTGAAAAGATAGTTTAAAATTTTTTAGAGTAGATAAATTCATTAATTTTTCTGCTTGTTATGATTTTTTTAAGTTTCTGAAATCATCCCTTAACTTCTAGCCTTTTAATAGTACAAGAAAAAGTCAATAGATCATTTTTATGTAGAATTTTATTCTCTACAACTTTTATTTCCAGTTCTTACCCCTTTTGAGTTATCTTAAAAATCCCCTTTATTTTATCTATTTTCACCCCAGGGGTTGAAAAAAAATTACTGTCAATTATTGTTATTATATGCCTCAAACTAACTTATATAAAAAATTCAGGTAAGTTGTGAAAATGGCAACTTAAAGACCCATTTAATTGGACTAATGCTATTTGGGGCATTGTAGCCACATAATAGTAGATTCCTGCAGTATCAGCAGTTAGTAGTCTGTGGGGCCAGATATCTTATGCATACTTAGATTTCTGGTATAAAAGAACATTATTTGGTTCCAAGTCATGTAATCTTTCATATTTTTATTGATACTGTTTCACTTTGACATAAATAGGACCTGTTCAAATTAAAACTTCGTTTTACAAAATACCCCGCAAGTATCTACTAAAATTTAATTATAAAAAAATACTTACGTTGGCCTGCTTTTCACACAACACTGTTTTAATTGCAAATATTTCTTCTATCTTCTTATATAGACCGTTTAAATATTGACAGTATGTAAATGTTTCCTGTTATGAGGTTTTGCAGATAAAATATTTAGTCATAATTATAAATGTTTCGCAGTTTTACGTGGTATCTATAAAAATCTCGAATTTATTGTTAAGTAATTTAAGAGAGTACATAACTTATATTTTAAGGAATTAATATCCTCAGAAGCTCCTTAAATTATTCTATTATTTGTTCTAAATTGTTCGAATCTGGTCAGTGACCGGTTAAAATCATCAGCCAGTCCCATTCTCCCCCGTTCCACTTCTTTACAAACACCACTATTTCGTTTTTTGCATCTCGCACACAAGTAAGCCAAACACGCTGCAATTTTCAACGCAATCCCAAACACGCAGATTGCTAAAGCAACAACTATATAATACTCTACACTTCCCGATCCCTGTGTCGAACTTAAATCTGGTTCCGGGTGGAACCAAGAAGAATCCTCATGCTTCTGCGGCTCAATCACTATGTTGGTCGACTGGTAGAACCCTAACACCTTTTCAGAAGCCACCAGCCCGAGTTGGTCAGTATACCACACGCTTTCCTCGCATAGTTTTCCCTCCCGCTCTAAGATCAACTTTGTGCTGTTACCTCTTTGGTCCACGCATTTTTTCTTCCCACACCGCGTCTCGTAGCTTTCGTATACTTCTTGCACTTCTTTGCATCGGTTGGTGTAGTGCCAGAAGGCTTTGAACGGCCGGCAAAGGCCTTCGCTGTATTTGCATCCTGGTAGTCCCATCACTGCGTCATGCTCCAAATCTACTTCGTGGGTTTTCCTACATAGGGTCGCGTTAGGTTCACAAACTTTGCTGTGCAGCTCCAGGAGTCTAGAATTATTCGTTGGTAGTTTCTCGGGTGGTAGTTCGCAAGGACTTGACGAATTTCCAGGGCACGCGTAGACAGTAACTTCTATTGGGTACTTGTAGATGTACCAAGTTCTCAGCACGGGTTTCAAAGACCTTGATTCGCACAACCTCTTGGAAAAGGGCTTGAAGTTTTGTTTAAAGTCCGAATAGTTTTTATATTCAGAAGAGTTTATGTCTGCTGTCGAGGCAATTATACCTTCGTAGTTCGTCCTCCACACCTCAACGCCACAAAACTTATCCTTTTCCGTCAGTACAACACCGATTCGTCCGTTTCTGATTAAATTTCTTCTTCCTTCCTCGATCGCCCACACGTCAAATTCGCCCTGGTAAGCTTGAAGGGAGAACCGACACGCGCTGCGGTTTGTCCAGAATGCCACCTTCGATATACCTGTAATGTTACAATAGTACCTGTCATACTGACAAATAGTGTTGCCAGCAAGTACTACTTTGTTGTCCACCAGATTGGCATAGCTTGGTAACTTGCAAAATACCCTTTTGTATGAACCGGTGAGTGGGCAATATCGAGAAGCGTCGTCTGCTGCAACTATTGCGTCCGTAGCCTTGAATTTCTCACACAAGAACTCGTCTCCGACCTCGTCGAAACAGTAAATGGTCTTGATCTCGACGCTTGTGTTGTAAATGTGGTACCGAGCCTTCTGTTGTTCCTTCTGGCACTCTTTGGAAAACGCCGGTACCGCCGTCAAGAGCCCCAGGAACGTCACAAGTTTTTTCATCGCTAAATGTGTATAAGAGAAAATATTAATATCAAATAATTTAAAGAGCAGATGCTTTTTTAAATGAAACACACAGTAAGTATACGTGTGTGCTATGAGATTGAAAAGTAAAAATTATTTCAAATATATTTTCTAATCAAACAATCGATTTAATTTGTTTATGATTTATAAATGAATAAGAAAATAGCAAAAATTGATCTGTGGTCGTAGCGAAAATACTAGTTTAGATAAAAAAATAATAAATAAACTGATTCTTTTGTTGTCTACAACTCCAGATACAAATCTGAGTAATGTTACCAACAGCATGACAAGTTTTATTTTAAAGAAAACTTACCTTGTTTTTAACTTTTCCCACAAGCAATGTTTTTACTGTAAACTTCGCATGCAACTGCTTTATCTATGCTTTGCTATCGACTTGAAGTCACTTACCGCATCCGTTGTGTTGTGATGGTGATAGACAAAGAGTTAGTCATGAAATTTTTTTTTTGGGTAATCCAATACGGTTTTTAGAAAGTAGATGGCCTTGTGTCTATCTTAAATTATTAGACAACAGAATAAACTTCGTTGGGCTGAAAAGTTATTAAAACAAAACTCTGATGTGTAATCTTTTATTGTCTATAATAATATTTCTAATATAAAGGTTTTGAAAAGCTGTAAATCTATGGCGTCGATGTTACAGTACAAGAAGATAATAATAATAATAATAATAATAATAATACATATTTGTTCCTTCTTAGTTAAATATACGGGGTGTTTCAACTTAGAGTTTGAATTGTGCAAAAAATATAAAATATGTTACTTTCGCTTTAATCAAATCATATTTCTACCGTTTCTGTTAATAGTAGTATTGTTTTTGTTTAGATAAATTCAATTTTGAGGGATAGGAACATTAACTCGCTTTTTTCGTAGTTCCACCGCTTCGCTAACGGCAGGAACTCTCCTTTTCCTGCATTTTGTACACAAGTAAAATAGGCTTACAGCAGTTTTGAACCCGACAAAGAGAAGACACATGGCTAAAACTGAGATTATGAAATACTCTTTGATGTGTGAGTACTGTGAAGGATTCCAATGGTTTTCCTGTTTGAATAACGTGTCTTTGGAAGGGGAGAATTGTAATTCTTCTTCGGATGCTATTAGGCCGACTTGATCAGTGACCCAAACGGATTCTCCACACAGTTTTGTTTCTCTGAGTAAAGTCAACTCGATGGAATTATCCGTTAGAATTGTATGTTTTGGACTTGCAACCTCCTTTTCGTAGCCATTGTACGCTTTCTGAATAGAATTACATAGGTCGGTATAGGTCCAAAATCCATGATATTGCTTACAGATCCCAGAACTGTATTTACAATCTAAAGGAAGGCCTTTCGCTGTGTCTTTCATTAAGTCAACTATAGTATATTTGTAAATATACCACGATTTTTTTGTGTCAACGCCCTGTTTTAAAAAAGAGTTCGTGCTACAAGCTTCTGGTAGAACATCCTGGAATGTCAACACGTTTCCTTTTACTGCCTCAATATAGTTTGTTGAAACTACAATACCATTGTGAATGGTTTTCCATACTTCAGTGTCGCATAGTTTAGTTCTTTCTGTTAATAATAAACTAACTCGATTTCCACGAATAAATTTCATTTCATTCTGCCCAACATTCCAAACATCCACCATATCATTGTACATTTGAATTAGATTCTGACAATTCTCTTTGTAATACCAAAATACGTATTTTCCAACAACTGAATCATAACAGCTTTCTTCTTTATACCGACATGTTTTGTTGCTGACGAGCGTGATATTATTTTGGAGCAAGTTGACTCGGGCTGGTACTTGACACAGCTTGATTATTCCTAAATTACTATTTACACCTTCGTTTTTTTGCCAGCACTTCCATTGGATGTCTATATAATGTCTATATAATGTAACTGTAACTGGTGTACCATTATTAAAATTTTCACATTTGAAGTTCTCGTCAACATTAGGAAAGCAGTAAATAGATTGAGCATCTACGTTTCCATTGTAGATGTAATAAAAACCCTGTTGATTTTCTTTTCTACATGTCGATACTCGAGAATAAGTCGATGTTACTAACAGCAACCCCTGCAGTACTGCTACTGTTCTTTTCATCCTTAAATCAAAAAAGTTAAAAATGAAAGTTTGGAATATTGATTATAACATTTTTTTTATATTGTACATTAAAAATTATCTCTTGAGCGATTCAAAAAGTATTATAAAAACTCATTTTTAAAAATATATCAATGAAATTTGGGGTTCTTGGAGTAACATACATATACAGCGTGGTAAAAAAGTTCTACATAAAATTCATATTTTTGTTAAATAATTTTTTTTCGAAAAACGGTGAGACCCGTCGATTTTTATTTGATCCAGGGCATCTTGTTATGTGGAAAAAATTTTTTTTCGATAATCCACTTACGGCAGCGATGACATATTTTTTTTTTAAATGACAACGCATATTTTTTTCGTTCGAAATTGATGACAGTGATAATTATCTAAACAACGGTGTGAAAATTTCGATGTCTTACATAACAATTTTTTTTAGAAAAATGCACCTTAAGTTCTTATAAGTGATAATTGTCTACTTACACTATTAATGGCTCCGAAAAGGACAAAGTTGACAAAATTACATTTCAAACGAGTAAAATTACACTAATGTTTGTGTAAGTCTAGCGAAATTGTTCGAATTGCCCACCCTGTACCATTTGGCATTGTCCTAAGCGTGTGTAAACGCCGTCTACACTTCGTTCAAGCATTCCCGGGTCGATTTGATTTATTTCAAAACGAATACGGTTTTTAAGTTCTTCCAAATCACCTGGTCTGTTTGTGTACACACGCGATTTCAAATAGCCCCACAAAAAAAGTCTAGAGGTGTTAAATCAGGCGAACGCGGAGGCCCCTCGATTGTTCCGCGTCGCCCGATCCACCGGCCAGTAAACGTAAATCAAATTATTGAATCCAGACCACGTACTATATAGTTTCATTTTGAAGAATTACTGCGCTAAATTATTTGTTAATATTTAAAATAAAATATTCTTCATTCTAGTACAAACCTATATGGATGATAAAACAATATCTTTTTTTCAATTCTATCGATATCTAAAATGGATTTTCATAATATTTTAAATGTGTTTAATGAGTGAGTTTATAAAATATTAATAAAAAACATTTCAAAAGAAACTGATATATCCGAAACGTCGGTGAATTTTGGAATATCAAAACTTTAGTTATAAAATTGACTTTCTTTTGCTTTTTTGTGATATGATATTTTCGGATTCATCTTTCAGTTTTCTACAAATTACTACTCTCTTATGTTTTTCTAAAAAAGACTGACTCGAATAAAACTTAAAAAACGAACTGAAAACACACTTCGATATTCGAATATAATGCTTTTTAAAATTACATAGTGGGCTGCGATAGCAATTTTTTCATTCTGAGCAGTTAGAAGAAAGAATAAAATGCTTTTCATCAGATTCAAGCAACAATAAATTTCGAACAAATTACATTTTCATTACAAAAAAGATGTCGCGCCTGTATTTTTGGAAATGGAGGTACTTTTGAGCATTTACTCTAATAAAATCATTCCAATGATGACTAATGTTATTAATTTCTTTATTCGAATAAATAACCGAATGATTAGTGCTTGTCATGTCATTTAAGTAAAAGTGTTTTCAGTTGGTTTTTTAGGTTTTACTCGAAAATCAGGATTTTTTCGAAAAACATAAGAGAGTAGTAATGGTGCGTGTAAATTTTAGGAAAAGCTCTCAGATTTTGGACAATGTTTACATAAACACATGTGCCCAATTTCAAATTATTTCACTTACTAGTTTTTAAATTATTAAAAAAAATTGAAATTATTTTGTGAAGTTTAACACCCTGCTAACGAAGTGTCCTAGATAAAAATTTTATAGGAAAAACTTCAACAAAGAATACGAGGTTTCATTTTTGGTCACTATTTGTGAATCACCCCATTAAATTAAAATCGGTTAATAAACAAAAAAGTTATTGCAAAAAAACAAGAAAAGTGCCCATTTTTTAATTTTTTTATAACTATCGCATTTATTGTTAAAATTTTATAAAACCTATCACAAGTTGAGGGTTTTGTCATATTTTAAAAGTGTGCCAAAAGTGGGCGCTGTAGGTGCAATAGTTTTCGCAGAATTCAATTTGTTTAAATAACGGAGGCTCCAAAAGTTACGAACTTTAAGCCTCTGTACAGGCGTTAATTTTCAACCGAACATGATTATGAAAGCGTCATTGTAATCTTAAAGACGTAATTAAGCGACCTATTAAAAAATATCACTTCTTTTTGACACTAACATTCTCAAATTGTGCATTAAAAAAACGTGCGTTGTTCGCTTCTAAACAATTTGAAAACAATTGTTGGTATTTATGCTATATCACTGAAAATAGATGCAATTGATAGCTGGCAAAAAAATACATAGGTATATAACATAGGTTATATAAAATTTGAACAATAAATGCGATAGTTATAAACAAATTAAAAAATGGGCACTTTTCTTGTTTTTTTGCAATAACTTTTTTGTTTATTAACCGATTTTAATTTAACAAGTCTCATTTTGTAGATAATTTTACTCCCTACAGGCTGTCTGCGAGTCACTTTTCGCTAAAATTGATGGTTTTCCCTGCAAAGTGAAAAAACTGTTTTCCTCACTTATTTGTTTAAATAGAAAAGTTAACTAATTAAAGTTTTTGGCTCAGGAGATGAGAGATGTCTTGTATTATGTTCCTTTAGACAATTTTAGAATAATCTCGCGGATAGGACTTTTTTAGAGTTTCTCTTTTATTTTCGCTAATTTTCCTGGTGACCTGTTTCAGCGATTTTTTTAAATTCTAACAGGAAAAAAAATATATGAATTTTGTTCCATCAAGGGACACGGTGTACATAAAAGCAACTTAATTTTTTTTGTATAATATCCGTTTTGAGCCAAAACTGCGCATAAGCGAAATATTAAAAAAAATCATACCTGTCATTTAACAACAACAATTTTTTCTAACGTCTTAGCCTTAGCTTTCGCTATTAATGCTGCTGACTGCTCTATAAAGAGAATATATTAAATAACGTATAGATTATACGATGCGGTTCTATGCAAGATTTACATAGAACCACATCCCGATGTATTCTAAAATTGGTCTGACAAAAAGATTTCCTCAAATTTCATACCTATAAACAAGTGCAAATGTTTTTGATGTTATGACGTTTATTTCCTCGCCTGCTATGATTATAAGTAATCATATCTCATTTTACGTGGATTTTGGCTATTTATAGCGAGTGGCTTCCTGTTAATTTGGAAATGAATTAGTCAATTTTGTGACTAAAAAAAAAGAAATTTATTTCTTAAACAGCCTTCGAATTTTAACATCACCATTCGCTCCCTACAGTTCAATTGTTTTTCAGCAAATCAGTTGAAGATGGCAATAAATCGTCGAAACGTCGACGCGTAGGAAAGTTCTTTGTTTTTGATGCTATTATCAGTATGTCGACATTAAGGATCGAGTTCTACATTTAAATAAGTAACGATTTTTTTTAATTTCTGATAAAAATAGATACATGCTGTCAGCATACTGAGATTAAGGGTTATCTCTTGACTAAGCGACCAGTTTAGGTCTTAATGATGAAATATTTTTTTTTCAACAGACGGATTTGGAAATGTTTTACAAAGTGGCGTAATGTATTTGGTTTTTTACTTCGCTAATTGTATTATATCGGAAATATGCAAAACATTACCACTTTGTGAATTTTCGGTGATTGTTCTGAAAAATAAACGTGTTTGGAGGTGTTTTTATATACTACGACGGACGCCACTGCTGCTGATAACTGTTATTCAGAGGATGTAAACTAATTGTGGAAAGCAGCACATGATCTGGCACGAGACGTAGATAAAGACTTTTAGAACTTTGGATTAGTGAAGTGGCCTCTAATTTTTTTAAACCACTATCGCATCTGTGAGCATTACTAAAGCTATAATATACAGGGTGTTTCATTCAGGAGACACAGCTCGATAGGGGATTCTTACAGCCAAAATAAGACAATTGCGTAAAAAAAACTCATTCAAATGATACTTCTTTTAAGAGTACAGCGTGTCAAATTTTATTCGCTACGTGTGTTTATTTTTTGGCCCTTACTTAACTTTATTCCATCGTACGTAGCACTCTGTATATTATCCCATTTTTGAATTTTTCGTTAAATTTAAGGCGTACTGTAATAAACAAGCGTTGGGTCTAACACGTACCGTTTCTGTGTTATTCGAGGGCTTAAAAAATGGCGTTTCATTCTGAATAATAACAAATATCTCTGAAATTAAAATGAAAATATGAAAAATATCGCCTCTAACAATTTCGGAGAAAAAATATGTAAATGTATTACTTTGTTTATCAAAATATTCAGGAGACACAGTTTGCGGACGTCCGCCTCGTATACTCAAAGGTCGTATCCACGAATTATAAAATCACTATCACTAATTGGTTGACCGTACATGAACCTAATTTTTCACGCGATAAGGAGCTCGAATAAAAGACCTTCCCATTCGCAAGGGGGGCAGTTATTAAAATGACTCACATTGCTTTACTAGTCACCTTAGTTTTCGCCTCCTTGTTTTTGGTAGAAAGCAGGGTGAAACGACATTCCGATGCATCTCTGGAGATGGTCCACGTGGTAAGAAACGAAAAGAGATATAGAGATCGTAAAAAAGATTTTCTAATTTCGTTTTTCGTCTGCTAGATCTTTAGACACGGGGACAGAACGCCAGACAAGGATGTCATATACAAGAACGACCCTTACGTCAATGAGACCTACTACCCTATAGGACACGGTCAGCTGACAAATGTAAGTGTGGTTTTGACCAGAAGGTAAGTGTTGTTCACTGGGACAGTTTATTTCTTTAATCCATTCCCCGACAAAGGTAGCACGAGGTTAGGAATTTTTGTTTTTAACAACTGTTTTCTATTTTCTTTGTAATTTTATTTAATGACATATTTACAGCTAATACAAGCATCAGAGTGTTGTCAAAAGCAATAAAATAACAGCTGAACTAAAATAATCCTCCTTTTTACTTAAAAAACAGTCGGATAAGTTCCATATCAAGAAATCTCTAATAAAAAACGAGTAATACTGAGAAACAGGACGAAATTTAAAAAGTAAAAATAACTAAATAACTACTTTGTTGGGACAACACCTTGGTAACGCGAAAAATTCGAATTTTATCACGGTTTCTCCATATCTTCTCAGTTTAACAGGTATCAAAAATTAATTTAGAAAGTTGAATTTTCCAGATTTTTTTCTAGAAATTTACAAAATCTAGACAAAAATTACCCAAAATCTAGTTAAAAACATTCGTACCCATTTGAAACCGCTGCTAATTTCGGTCTCATTTAACGTTTGGCAGTCTCATAATTGTAGATTTGACTGGTGCGAAATATTTTTTATTAATTGAACTCTTTAGTATCTACCGACTTACCACAATGACACGAAGAAAACTTGTTTAGAAGCACTGATCCCACCGATAGTCCCGCGTTTCTTTATATCGCTGTATTTCGTAAGAAGAAAACTTTTCAGTAATAAAAACTGACAAAAAAAAGGCTGACACGCCATTTACGTCCACAACTATTCACCACTTTTTAAGTAGTATGTAAGCCGGATACGATTCCAGAAGTTCTGAATAAGTTTTCGCAATTTAGGCCGATCAAAATAACTCATTTAGAGGGGGAAAAAAATTTAAATTGTTATCTGAACTCTTATAAGTGGAAATGGTGAAGGGGCTTATAATAAACGAAAAAAATTAATAAATCCGTGAGTAGGGGCGGCGGAGGGTTGATTTGGCAGGTGGAAAAGTTATGAAAAATTGTGAACTGTGATTACAGATTTTTTTATTTTACCAAAAAGTATATGTTAAAACGAAAAAAATGATTACCGGCAGAATCCTGTACGATGATTTTTTTAAGAAGAATTTTTCTTTGAAAAAAAAGTGTTTCAGGCCAAAAAAATGAATATCTCAGAAACTTCTTGATTTTTTTTTAAAAAAAAAATTTGAGCTTATTTAAGACAGAGAAAGGTATACTTTCACAAAGTTTCGTCAAAATTAAATTATTTTTGCGGAAATGAGAAATAAAAATCGAAAAATCAGAAAAAAACCTGTTTATCGCATTTTTCTCGGAAATTTTGAGGTTATGTTAAAAAGTGACCTCTCCAAAAGTTGTAGATTTTTGCATGATCTACAACTTTTGTATTGGATATTTTTTTGTTTGACGTCAACTTTCGTCAGAAATCCCAATGATACAATTTCGTCATAACTTTTCAACACCCCAAATCAACCCTCCGCCGCCCCTGCTCACGCATTTATTTTTTTTTTAGATTTATCATAAGCCCTTTTACCATTTACACTTATAAAAGTCCTGGTAACATTTTTTTTTTTTCTCCAAGTATAATATGGTTGGACTATAAAGGAAAAATATACAACTTTACAATAAAAGACATATTTTTCAGTAATAAATACAGACAAAATAAAGGCTGACACGCCATTTACGTCCACAACTATTCACCACTTTTTATGTAGTATGTAAGCCGGATACGATTCCAGAAGTTCCCAATAAGTTTCCGCAATTTTGATTATATTAATTATATTCTTTGCGGGACAGGCTGGGAAAAGGAAGGAGTACCAGATCGGCAAAGCCCTGAGGAGGAGGTACTCCACCTTCCTGGCCAACTTTACCCTGGACACCGTCGACTCGAGATGCACGGACTACAACAGGACCAAGATGTCCCTGCAGCTCGTCCTAGCTTCCCTGTTTCCGCCGAAAGGCGACCACGTCTGGGAGAAGAAGCTGAACTGGCAGCCGGTACCTTTCAACTACTGGCCGCTGAAAGAGGACCACGTAAGAGAATGATTCTCAGTTTCGGTGCGAAATTCGAAATTATCGCACTTCCAGGTTCTGGGGGACCCCATGAAGAACTGTCCGGTGTACAAGGAGGCTTTTTTCCACCATCTGAACTCGAAAGAAGGTAAGGCGATGTATGAGAAGTACGAGAAGCTCCGGAGGTACTTGGAACACCACGCCGGGGAAACTTTGCACAGCAAGAAATTCGCGTCATTGTACTTCACTCTAACGACAGAGGTAACTGATATTTTCAGGAAAATTTACCCGACAATTCGCCTCCTTCTATGATCCGGTCATAAATCTCCCCTCTTTTGCCGTCGTTTTGCATACAATCGAGAAGCTAGGAATGCATTTTGTCGCGCTTCGCCGTAAATTAAAACAGTATCTGTTATTGCTAGACCATTTTGAATACTTTTGTTTGTGATATCGATTGTACAATGACATGATAGAAAGAATCTCGACCATACGAGTATCACCAATCATATCACTTCAATTTCCAGCACGAGAACGGTTTGAAGATGCCGGAATGGGCAGAGCCCGTCTACCCACTGATCAAACACCTGGCCATCATGGATTATAACGTCAGCACAGCCACCCCTCAACTAAAACGCTTGGCATCAGGTATTAAATTCACCCCCGTCGAAAACTGGTGATAATACACCAGCCCCTCCGCCGCACAAATGCGGGTCCGTAACGCACTCGATTATTTTTCAGGATTTTTGGCGAGGAAAATAATAGGAGACACCAAGGCGAAGATACGGGGCGAGAAATATTCCCGCACCAAGGTTTTCTTGTATTCGGCTCACGAGTCTAATGTGGCTCACTTTTTGCGGTTCCTCGGTGTGTTCCACTCGCACGTGCCACCCTACGGCAGCTATATTTCTGTCGAGGTCCACAACTATAACGGGGAAAGGGGGTTTAAGGTTTACTACCAAGACTATTCCACGGAGAAACCGAGGAAGGTAAGGCTGCCGCGTTGTGGCAGTTTCTGTAAATTGGACGACTTCGAACGTTTTTACGGACATTTAATGCCACAGTCCGAAAAGGAATGCTTTTAGAAAAAAATCTGGCACTTAAAGGGTATTTTACGCCTACGTACTTCGTTGTCTTGATTATAAAAATAATCTGTGGTAATGCAATAAAAAAAAATAAAAACATTGCACTCTTTCCTTAGAGATTTTATTAAATTATTCCTTCCTTTTATAATTAATTCAGTATAATTTGCAATTTTGACATGGTTATTTACACTTTGCGTCATCTTGCATAGAAAAAAAGGACCATAATGAAGAGAGTTTCACTGTTTTTGATCCGCAAATGATTTTATATTATTTCTGAGTTTCACTGCATGAACCATGGGGACTTTCCGACCCTGTATAAGCCTCAACAAGAAATTTTCCACTTGCTGACCGGCGTGGTGCAGTGGTTTGTTTAAAAAATATTTATCGAGCAAATGTAGCTTTAACTTTCGTTTAAAAATATTTACAGACAAACAGTATTTGACATCGTTTGGTAAACGATAAAAACATTTTGGACTCAAGCAACAAGCATTCAGGGCTAGCTTTAGTTTGGCAAACGGCACTCTAAGATCACCAGCACGTCTCGTGTTATAATTGTACTTATCTTTGTTAATGTCAATGCTTTTCTTATTTTTATATACATAAACACATAATTTGTATATAAACAAACAGGGAAGGGGTAAAATGTTTAATTCCTTAAAATATTGTCTACATGACTCTCTGTCTGAGGTTTTTAACATGCAACGGATGATTGTTTTTTGAGCAATAAAAACACTAACTCAATTGGTCGAATTGCCCCATAAACAAATTCCGTATCTAAGTCTTGAATCTACTTGGGCATAGTAAACGTGTACAAGCTGGGAAGGGTTCAGCACCGTTTGCAAATTTAAGAAAAGAAACTTCAGAGAATTTATTTTTGAAATAAGTTTATCGCAGTGTAATTTTATTCTTAAAAAACGACTAAAATTCGCATTTTTTAAAACTTCTATATCTTTAAAGCGAAAAAATATTTTTTTACGAAACTTCCAGAATATGTAGTTCTTGGCAAGAATAAGTGCATTTTTGTAAAATTGCAAAATATTTAACAGTTTTTGCAAAAATTGAATTTTTAGAAAAAAATAATTTTTTTTCAAGTTTCAGTAAACCATGGAAATTGTGCGCGTATTGCAAAATAATTGGGAATATGCAAAAAAACTACCGAAACTTTGACTTCTTATTTTTTGTGTCGAAAAATGTAGATCTCTTTCTTATCTTTGAAATTTAATCGGAATGGCATTGTGTGTTGCCATTTGAAAGCTGACATTTTTTCATGAATTTAAAAAAAAATGTCCTACGACCAACAGAAGCCGAAAAAAATTTTATTTTCAAAAAATCTCTACGACCTCGGCTACTATTGGTCTTGGCACAACAATTTTTTTTTCAAATGCCATTCCGATAAGAAGATCTGCATTTTTCGATCCGAAAAAATAAGTCAGTTTCGGTAGTTTTTTGCAGATTTCTAATTATTTTACAATACGCGCACAATTTGCACAGGAAAGTACAGCTCTTAGAGAAAATTTTAAGCCCAAGATAGGTCACGTAATTGCATTACAGTATGATTTATTGAAACATGAAAAAAATGTATTTTTTTCGAAAAACTCATTTTTTGCAAATGCTCTCAAATATTTTGCAATTTTACAAAAATGTACTTATTCTACTTGCCAAGGACTACATATTCTCAAAGTTTCGTAAAATAATCTTTTTTCGTTTTAAAAATATAGAAGTTTTAACAAAATGTGATTTTTAGCCGTTTTTTTTCCAATACATTCAATACTTTTGTTATTAATTGACATCGGGTTGGTCTCAAAATTATTAAAAAATTTACAACTTTTGTCTAAAATGTTTCGTTTCTTTTTTAATGAAAAAACTGTTTTTGCGAAATTAGGACGCCATTTTGAAAATTAGGCGCTAACATTCAGATGGAGTAAAGTAGTCCATTCAATTCTATGGAATTTTTCCTAATCTTTACTTCTCTTTGTTGTTAAATTTTGGCAAAAAACGAGGTATTTTCGACAATTTCTTTTTATTTATATCACTTTACATTAATTCTTTTTTTGACTGGCCTATTTTATCTAGTATAGTTAATTACGTTAACAAATGTAATTCACAATTCAAATTTTACAGCAATTGGCCTAGTTTAACTTTTTTTTTTCAATTTTTGCATCTTGTGTGAGTAAAATTCCTTTTTGTATAAAAAATTGGGAATAAATTTAATGATTTAGAATTAAAATTTAGGTACGTTTGTCTCAATCGTTGTTAATTTTGCAAAAAATATTCGGTATAGGGATATAGTTTTTTTTTTGTTAACTATTTTCAGTCAAAGCGGTTTGTGTCAAAATACAATCAAACATTGATTCTCACCTCTTTTCGGTATCTCAAAAAGTAATTCAGTGATACTGTCTCCGACTGTAGAGCTGTCTAAAAAATGAATTCTCCGTAAAAGGCTACATCTTTCACAGGATTGTGTGAGGTAAGGGCACAGTATTACAATTTTTTCCTAAGGACAGAAGAATCGATGCAAAATAAATTTGTTAACGTCATGCCATGGAGAATAACAGTCCAAGGTTTAAAAAAAAATCACGTAACAATTACTGTTATTTTGTTCAAATTATAATTAGGCCATACAAACAAGTCATCGAAGATGGTACGTCAAAACATGAAATTTGTAATTTTATTAGATTAGTTGTTTACAAAATACATATTTCGCTAATATCTCCTCGTTAATACATAAAGAAGCACGTTTTCAAACAGATAATTCGTTTTGCGTAATCGTGATTCCAAATTTGTTTGTTTTATTATAAGTACAAACATTTTTTTTTATTTGATGATACATGAGACCCATACAGCGGATGACGAAGTCTTTTTGAAACACAATGGCAAAATAATTTGTATTTTTTTCAGTTCAATGCTAAATAGGAACTATTATAAACAGGATGATTACAGTTTATTTTGCACTACACGTAAATTGAAAGTTTCAATTCGTTGCAGGCAATCTCGTACTTCTCCACGATTTTTCGGGGGTTAATTGTGAAACAGCGCTTTATGCCGCTTCCAATACTTCCCCTGCTCGTTTTCACTTTCCGAGCTCATTTTGAATTAAACACTTTTGCGTTCTTGAATTTATATTTTGCCTCGCTAAGCTCGTCCAAATAACGTCCATTCTTAAACGCAAAAGTACCATTTCGCGTTCTAGATACAAAAATAACAATTTTTTCATAATCAACTAATGGATACAAACAGATGTTTTGGTGTATTATTTTGAAAATTAATTCTTCATAGTGACATCTATTTAAATGTGAATACCATTTTTCAAATGTCGTAATGCTATAACTTAAAAAAAAATTACAATTTTGGCGAAAAATAAGAAAACCTATTTGTCGAGAATGAAAAACCATATACAGGGTGGGCCAGTGTGAGAAAATAAAGTAACTCCCTTGTTATTCATAATACAGAAAACAAGTTTATATAAAAGTTGTACAGAATCAAAAAACTTAAAGGACAAAATTAACTTGAAACATACAGGGCGATAAGTAAAAGCGGGACACGCCAAATATTACATTTTTTAAATGGAACACCCTGTATATGTTTGAACATATGGATTTCCGAAAAAATTCTATATATGGCAATATAAACAATTTAATATTTTAGTGCGGAGTTGCCAAGTTATGTAGAAAATTCTTCGAATTTTGGAAAAAACATGACCTCGAAGAAGTTGTATTAACTTTCAACTACCAACACTTGGTGCAAAAATAGAGTTATAGGCAAATGTTAAGCAAAGACTTCTATTTTAGCTAATATCGATATTTTATAAAGGGCATTTTTTATAATTCGATCATTGTTCGAAAGTTCAAACCTGATTTTCTAAAATTTTTCATATGGAACACCTATATTTTATTGTTCTATTTTATTAACATATCAGTCCACTTCAACTTTCATTAAGTATGTTCTACACCTAAAGTTGTTAGTTTTTAAGATATAGCAACATTTCTGGAAAAACCCAATTTTTATTTTTTTCGGTCGCACTAAATGGCTTTGGAAAAAACTGTCACATTGTGTCAACTTGTCAGTTCATAATTTATCATTCCGTTCTGAGTTAATTTTATTAGTTAATATTTATTAGCTGGTATTCTATAAAATAATAAAAATTGTTTTCAGAAATGTTGCTATATCTTAAAAACTAACAATTTTAGATATAGAACATGCTTAATAAAAGTTGAAGTGGACCGATATGTGAATAAAATAGAACAATAAAATACAGAAAAATGTTAGAAAATCAAGTTTAAACTTTCTAGAAATGATCGTATTGTAAAAAAATGCCCTGTATAAAATATCGATATAAACTATTATAGGAATATTTGTCTAACATTAGCCTATAGCTCTGTCTAATTATTTTGTTCCAAGTGTTAGTAGCTGAAAGTTAATACAACTTCTTCGAGGTCATGTTTTTTCCAAAATTCGAAGAATTTTCTACATAACTTGGCAACCCCGCACTAAAATGATAAACTGTTTATATTGCCATATACAGAATTTTCTCGGAAATCCATGTTTAAAAAAATACAGGGTGTTCCATTTAAAAAAATGTAACATTGGCGTGTCCCGTTTTTACTCACCGCCCTGTGTGTTTCAAATTAATTTTGTAGTTTATATTTCTTGATTCTGTACAACTTTTATATAATTTTTTTTTCTGTATTATGAGTAACAAGGGAATTATTTTACTTTCTCACAATAATGGCCCACCCTGTATATCGCGGGTCAGTTGTGTTAAAATATAAATTACCCAGACGCGACGAAGAGAATAGTGGAATTTCCTCACAACTGAAGAAAAATCAAAGATATCTTTATCTCAGTTCTCAAAACTTTCCAAAGTAATGGTGAAATGGGAAGTTTTCAACTAATCGTATAAATTAAAACGCAACATTATTCCATTAAAGATATGAAATACATAAATAGAACAAAATCTAAAATTAAAACAACAAATGTTTGTGCAATTAAACTGGACCACATTGCGATAATTTTAATCAACATTTCCACTGCTATTTTTCAAACATTTGTTGCCTAATTGATAATTTCAACGTGTTCCAGAATATGCATAATTGCGTTTAGAAAACAGTTTTACTCTCACCCATGAGTCTACGCGTGATCTACACGGTTCAAATCGGGCTAAAGAGCAGGAAGAGGTAGTGGACGTCATTGGTATTACTCTAGCCCTACCTTTCCTATTTCTTCTTAATTCAGAAGTCAGTTTCGCTTTATTTTGACTTCCCTCAAGTCAACACGAAGCGCTATTTATAAGAGTCGCGAGCAATTTAGAACTCGATTACGGTTAATTCCGGTACATCCTCAATGAATTACTTAACGAGGCATGTGCCGGGGCTATCACCGACAACAATAAGTAGGATGGCGTTGAATCAACTCATAAAAGATCCTGGTTGGATCCGCCGTTGGTCAGCCGAGCCTCGGATGTGTGGCGAGGGCAAAGTTTACTACGCGCCAAACCGTTGAACTCTCAGCGACCACCAAACGTACGTCTGGTTCTGTCAATCGATTTACACGCCGTTGAGCGTATTACAGTAGGCTCTTCCACGCGGGGTCGCGGGAAACAATCGTCTCGCGGTTTGCGTCACGCATCCACTTTAGGACTAATATTATTGTTTTCTCTTTCGGCGATGGGTCAATGGATAAGCGCACGTTTTGTCAATTTCAGTTACGTTTGCGGATATCTCGATAACAACGGTATAACTTGCATAAATTGTGACGCGTTAAAACGTTTTAAAAAAAAAATGAAGGGGCACTTGAAATAAACTAAATTGAATCAGAGTATGCAGTCGCACAAACAATTGAGCGTCAACTAAAAAGGATATGGCCGAAAATTTGACTTTTTGCGTAAAAAAAACAGCCCGTATTATTTTACAAGAAATGATTATTTGGTTAATAAAATATAAAACTATTTCCAGCGATTTCTCTTGGTCAATTTATTATTCAAATTTTTTTTCCCAAAGTTCTAGCGCCTATACTTTCCCTAATATCGTACCTCATCAACCTTAGTGGGACACCCTGTATATGACTAGGTTTTTATTTAAAATATTATCTGATGCGACTACAATTTAGAGTCAATTTTCACCAATTTGTCTACTGTAAAATAAAGGTTGAATTGCTGCTTCAATAATTTCGTTTGTTTTTTTGCAACCAATTATTTAATTACTAAACGTTAATTTTATAATTTAATATCGTAGATATAGTTTCTAATTGATCCAAACAAACGTATCGAAAAAGAAAAATTTCAAAAAGTTAGAATTAAATAGCCCTTTATAACTAACAAAGTAGGACAGGCAAAAGCCGCTCGAGAATTCGCTCTTTTTGCATTAAATAGGGCTTATTTTTTTGGCAATTTTGAAAAAATAGAGAATTCACATACTCCTCTTTGTTCTCAAGATAATTTTTTTTTAATGTCAATTGTTAATTAAATATCGGACGTATCGGACCGGGATTTTAGAGACAATTAAAAAAAGGTTTAAACTTTTATTTCCAAAAAGTTTAACATTGATCATGCAATTAACACGCTAGCAGCATTAAAATTCAACACACGAGAGAAGGAGCGCCGGGCCCGCGCATTGCGTGCACGTTGCTCTCGTAGCGATCGAGATTTTTGACTTGAACGTTTTAAATTCGGTTAAAATAAAAGTTTTCTTTAATTGTCTCTAAAATCCCCGGGTATGCGTCCAATAGTTCTATTCTACTTCTATTTTTTTTTAATTATCGTAAAAATAAGCTCTATTTAACCGAAAAAGAGTGAATTCCAGAGCGGCATTTACCTAAACATGAAACAATTTGTTATGTTAGTAAGAAATAAATACTGGTCACAATAATTTCTGGAAGCTGAACAAATGAACGATCAGTTATCGTGATCGTATATCATTCTTTGCGAAAAAATTACGCAATGTTTTTTATCGAAAAATAAGATTTTCGGTCACGCCTTTTTAAATTGACGTTCAATTGTTTTTCTATTTCTTATTCTTCTGCCGCAGGAGACATCTCGATAGCAAAGGAGTAAATTGGAATAGAAAGGGGGTTGTGTATCACCCTGTACAATATGAATGTATTTGGGCCAGTTTTGAAACTTGTGCGGTCACTATTCGAGTGACATAAGGTGTTAAATTCCTTACACGTTTTCAATAAAAAATGTTTTAATCGATTTTAATGAAAAAAGGCTATTTTCCCAATAGGTCGAGCATTGAATTGGAATCTAACTAAGGCTTAAAAACGGCCGTACCATTCAATACACGGAATTTGCAACGACTCTATACTTTTTGCGAAACTGCGGTTTGTTTCGTAAAAGATAATTGTACAACTAATTGCGCGCTACTAGAAAAAGCAGTCACGCGAACCAACGACTAGCAGGAGCGATTTTTGTCACTGTAGGTTCCGTTTAGGAACTTTGCCGCGTATTATACTGAATTTTTTTTAGTGAATTTAGACGCCATTCTGATTTTCCGTGTTATCCCCCAATATTTTGAGCCACTGGTTAGTGGCGCTCATTCTGACATCGAAGGCGAAAAAATAAAAATTGATAAACACTTCCCAGAGCCGGGTAGTGATAAGTTAAAGGTCACCGATGTTGTGCAATCGGGACACAAATACGGCACTGGATGCAGACATAAAAGCTTTGGCGTAGACCACTTGTCCAAGCAGTACGGTACTGTCGCGACGGCGCTAAACTTCTCTCCGCTATCTCCAAAGCAGCAATGGCCATCGAGATTGTCGGTTAGCTTCAGCCATGGCATCGTTATCGTTATTTATTTGATTATTTATACATATCGGCTTTGTTTTTACCCGTTTCTTAATTTATAGTTTTTTTATCGGTTATTTATTTTTATTTATTTTTTATTTCGAAATGAAACTCGCGATTTTCTTCGTGGTTTTCGCGGTGGTCGCTTGTTCTAGTCAGGAAACCGGCGATACCCTCAAGCTGGTGCATGTGGTGAGTACAACTTTTTTAAATCTTTTACGTTCCGAACAGGTGAAAAAAAAAATGGAAATATTGCTATTTAAGACGTGTGAAAATTGATGCTAAGACTAGATATATTTTTTTGTTTCAAAGATCTAATCTTAAGTAAAACAAAAACAAATTATTTTATTTACGTGTATTTTTCATCTTGTTATTCGTTTTTTCCCGTTAAATAACTGTAAACTGTCAAAAACTGACAGGTGACAAATGAATGATACATAAAAGTTTTCCTACTAGCACTAGTTCCTATAGTCCACAGTACAGGCCCCCTCTGGAAAGTTGATTACCACATAATTCTTGAGGAGCTTTGTTTTGACGAGTCTACCACATTTTTCCTCTGCGACTTTTCTCGATTCCTCCGCTTTTCCACTCGGAAAAGTCCAGAAACATGACAATTTCCCGGGGTCTTGGAAAGTCAAGACCACATCTTTTATTTTTAGCTTCAGTTACTGGAAATTTTGTTGCAAATGCCGATTTAAATTTGTCCGACAGAAATTCTTCCGACATTGACGTGTCTACCGGTCGAAACATGCCAAAATAACAGGGTATTGAAAATCAATTACCACATAGGTAATTTTTAGTAAAATTAATTGTAAATAATTAATTCAGTCAAAAAGTATTGTTGTCCGACAAATTTCAAGCCGCGTTTTTTCAGTCCGACAGCTAGAAATCGGAATTTTAGAGATTTTCGACAACAAAATTGGTAGACAAGTTGTTGCTTTTTCGAGTCGTGCCACAATACAGAAAACCATTTGCTTCTTGTTAAACTTTTCGTATTGCGTCATCTTTTCTAAGAAAACGAACAATCGATGTTAACTAATTATAGTCTTCAAATAAGATGACATAAATTTATTTAATTACAAGTTTCATAAATAAACTCGTAGGCATTATTTAATGTTTAACAATAGCTCACTCAAGGATATATAAAACATTCCTTGGTGGTCTATGCGCATGAAACAACAAAGAATTCCTTCAACTGCATTGTTGATCTCGGATACAATTGTAGTACTTTTAAGAAAAACTTTATAACCCTTGTTCTAGTGAAATATTTTTACATTTTTTACATTAATTTCATAGTAACTATCAAACAATTAATTAGAGTGGCCTCCTAATTCACCAGATCTATGCCGCATTGACTTTTCTGTAAATAATCGCTTATTTAACACCTGCTTTCAGTTTTTCAGACATGGCGCCAGAACTCCGGAATCGAAAGACGAATACCCCAACGATCCCTACAAATATGAAACATTCCTGCCTATGGGATGGGGACAACTGACTAACGTAAGTCACTGACACATCATGTAACTTTATTTGCGGGTCCTCCTTATCGGTTCTTCGTTGAGCACGAGACCACAAGCGCGGTGTTACAATCAGTCGATCATTTATCATGTGTCTCCTTATCGCTGTAATTGGTCTAAATTTAAATAAATCTTACATCGTCAGTTCCTCGCATATTGTTTCGTGTTTGCAGCTGCCCCAAGAGCAAGTATTTAATTTTTGATAAGCAGGGTCCTTTGGAGATGTAAATTGAAACATCGATGAAATCAGCACCGTGCCAAAAAAACTTTTCGACCAATTTCCATATAAAATCGGTATCTCACTAGTCTTAATATTTTTTTTAACAAATGATTTTGATATAAAACATCGTTGCTTAAATTTGTAATATTCCAATGCAGTACGGAAAACGACAGGCGTACGCCCTTGGAAAAAATCTGCGACGCAGGTACGGCTCCTTTTTGGGCGACATCTACACGCCCGAACTAGTACACGCACAAAGCACGGACTACGACAGGACCAAGATGTCCGCCATTCTGGCTTTGGCGGGTATGTTCCCTCCCGCCCCCTCGCAGCAGTGGGACGACACGCTGAACTGGCTGCCCATACCCATTTCCTACGAAAGGGACCACTTGGATTTCGTAAGTACTCGACACGAATCCGTCCGGGGATAATATCCACAAATCGTTAGTTACTCTCCACGTGACGTCATATGACATTTTCTTTCTTCGCAGACCTTGAGGAGGCCCAACCACTACTGTCCCGCGTACCTCAGGGAATTAGATCGCGTCCTGCAATCGGAACAGGCGAAAGAATACCTGAAGAAGAACAAGAACGTGTTGGATTACGTAGAAGAGAACAGCGGCAGGCCCATGAACAAGCTCATGGACGTATTTAGTATTTACCAGACGTTGACGGCGGAAAGGGGGATGAATCTGACTCTGCCGGAGTGGTCGAAGTCGGTCTATCCGCACGGCATCACGGAAATCGCTGCCAAACAGTGCGAACTGGAAAATTCGAATAAAATTTTGAAGAGGCTGAATGGAGGTAAGTCCAAAATAATGGGAATCGATGACATTTGGCGACAAATCATTTAGTTTCTGGCAGAGACGTTTACATTTAAAAAACTTTGCCGAACCTTTTGTTCTGTTTGCAGGGAGGTCCCTGAAGATGGTCGTGAACAACATGCTGGCCAAAGCGACGCACAATCTCCGGCCCCGCGAAAGGAAGATCTTTCTCTTTTCGGGCCACGAGAACAACGTCATTAACGTGTTGGCAGCTATGGACTTATACAAGGCCCACTTTCCCAGCTACAGCTCTGCGGTTATCATCGAGCTGCATTACCTCAGCGACGAGGATGAATACGCTGTTAAAGTGAGTATAGCGTGAAAATCACAGTAGGTTCTTTGTTCTGTGGGTTCCATGAGTGCAGCGGCGGGAATTTTAAATTTTTCGATAGTCTTCAGGCGATAATTTTATAACAAATTGTTTTTTTCTTAGGTTTTCTACGTGAAGAATGTCAACGAGGAAGCGGAAGAGAAACAATTGAAAGGATGCGAGGTGCTATGCCCGCTAACTAAATTTCTGGAAATTGTGGAACCCCACCTGCCATTGAACTACACAGCAGAATGCGAATCCGACATTTTCCTAAGTTAGAGTAAAAGGAATTGACAGTATTTTTTTTCTTTTAGAAATATGATTTTTTTTTATTACGATTTAAAGCATATTTTTTATACTTTCATTCGAATTTCGAATAAGAATTTGTAATTTTTTAGAACAAAATAAACTTGTTTTTATTTTGGAGGGATTCTATTCAATCCACCGCGTTAGTTGTGGTGACAAATTTAATGTTGGTAACACTGAATGCGTGGTAATGTAATATTTCAAAAAAACTCAACTCGTAATAACCAAACTTGGGTCTTGCAACCACAGAAATTGAATGAACTAGAAGTTTGTTCATATTTTTATTCTATGATCCAAGGCTTGCTGTGATCTATAATTGGTCAGTTCATCTCCGCTTTTCGACTATCATATGTCAATATTAGACGATTTGGACAGGAGAGCTAATACGTACAATGTGAAATATCGCCTTAGTGATAAAAATGTTGTCACTGCCGTTCTTGGTGGTGAAAATTCGAAATATTTGGAGTTAATCAATTTTTGTGGCTGAAAACATACATATTACATGAGTGGCGACTCCAGTAAAATAAAATTTTAGGAATTCTTATGCAGACAAGTATACATGAGTATTGTATTGTATGTTGCCTACCGAACAAAAATTGAAATGAAACCGGCGACTCCGGCAAAATATGACGTTTAAGGTTCAAGCAATTTTATTGCATGAGTCGTTCAAATGGTCATTTTAGATGTGAAATAGGGGTGGAAATGCACCCCTTTCAGTTTTTTAATTGTAGCTCGAAAACGAAGCAATACTTCATAGGAAAAATTATTTAGAGAATTGGATTTCCCATCAAAACAGCTTATTTAAAAAATTTAAAAGGAAAATTTTATGCAAAAAAAAATTGTTAATAAACAATTTTAAAGAAAGCAAAAAATTCGATTTTTTGTTTTTTTTTACTTTTTTAATAAACTAATTTAGTCAAAACTTGAGAATTTAAGTACAATAAAGTTTGTTAATAATGTATATACAGTGTGTCCACGGATGGAGTTGACAAAAGGAGAAACTCCTTTGTTTTTGACTTTATCAAAAAATGTCACTCTTTATAAAAAGTTCTGCCACTCAAAAAAATGAGACTGTCACACAAACATCTTAGATTAGATATACAGGGTGCTCATAAATTAAAAAACACGAAAATACTCAAGAGAGAAGTACCATTATTTATTATTTTACACAACATTTTTACATAACAATCTGTTTATAACCTCAAATAATGTCCTAATACAAATTTTAAAATCAAAATTTCAATTTTTGATGTGGGAAGGAGCTATACAGGTTGAGTAAAAGTCAGAATTGAAATATTGAATTTAAAATTTGTATTAGGACATTATTTGAGGTTATAAACAGATTTGTTTTATAAAAATGTTGTGTAAAATAATAAATAATGGTACTTCTCTCTTGAGTATTTTCGTGTTTTTTTAATTTATGAGCACCCTATATATCTAATTTAAGACGTTTGTATAACAGTCTTATTTTTTCGAAGTGCAGAGCTTTTTATGAACAGTGACATTTTTCGATAAAGTCAGAAACAAAATAGTTTCTCCTCTTGTCAACTCCATCCGTGGACACACTGTATATACATACATTATTAATAAACTTTATTGTACTTAAATTCTCAAAGTTTTTACAAAATAATTTTATAGAAAAAGTGAAAAAAAAACAAAAAAATCTCATTTTTTTGCTTTCTTTAAAATTGTTTATTACCAATTATTTACATAAAATTTTCCTTTTAATTTTTTTAATTAAGCTTTTCCATGGGAAATTCAATTCTCTAAATAATTTTTCCTATGAACTATAGCGAAATTTTGCTTCGTTTTCGAGCTACAATTAAAAAACTAAAAGGGGTGCATTTTCACCCCTATCTCCAATTTCCACCCTCTAATTTAATAGCACTCCGCGTTTTTTTTTATCTAAAATGGCCATTTGAACGATTCATAAAATATCTTGAACGTCATAATTCCTTTTAAAATAGCCTAAATTGAAGTGGAAAGGAAAAAAATGGAAAATCTTGAAAACTAGTGGAACTAAAGAGGAACTGAATGCAGTTCTGGATTAGCCAGAGCCGTTTTTGCCTACCGGAATTTTTCTAAAAATTTTTGAGAAAATCGGTGAAAATTGTCAAAAAAATGAAATAGCTCATCTAAAGACGGTTTTGTCTCAACTTACTTGTAATATAATGCATTTACATATAATCCTTCACAGTCCTGGGGTCATTAATAGATGTTCTTTTTCTTATGGAGTTGTATAAAAAAATACAACTAAAATACTGGCATCTTTGGTAAAACGGAGAAAATTTTTTGAATTTTTATGCAGCCAAGTATACACACGTATGTATTGTTTGTTGCCTGCATAACAAAAGCTTTAGAACTGGAAGGTAAAATATAAAAAAATCTGGAAAACTGATAGAGCTAGAGAGGAACTGGCAGCAGATTTAGATTGTCCAGGGCCATTATTGTCTACCCGAATTTTTTCAGAATTTTGATTCCTAAAAATTTTTGAGAAATTAGACGGACCCATCGATTTTCCTGTCAAAAAATTTTAGGGTCTCGAAAAAATCTGAAAAAATTCATCCAGACTATAATGGTACTGACAAATCCAAAACTGACACGAATTTCTCTCTAACTTACGTAATTTTCGAGATATTCAATTTTCTCTTCAGGAAAGCAACTTGCAAAACAACGCACTAATTCGGCGTCTTCTGCGGCCGTATATACGGTATATACGGGGTGCCGTTTTTAGACGGCATTCTAATTTGTTGAGAATTTTCATGAAAATTATCGTCAAAAAAATAAAGTACGTGTCTAAAGGCGCTTTTAGGAATTGTTATGCAGCCAACTATACAAGTATGTATTGTATGTTGCCTACCCGACAAAAGCATTGGAACTGGAAAGTAAAATATGAAAAATCTGGAAAACTGGTGGAGCTAGAGAGGAACTGGCAGCAGATTTGGGTTGTCCAGGGCCATTATTGGCCATCCGAATTTTTTCAGAATTTTCAGTTCCTCTCTAGCTCCACCAGTTTTTGAGATTTTCCAATGTTTTCTTCCGGTTATATTTAAATTTTTGTTCGACAGGCAACATATAATACATGCTTATGTATACTTGGCTGCATAAAAATTGCTAAGGTTTTATATATTAAAAATTCTGGGTAAATGCATTAAAAATGAACAACAAAATTATAAATAAGTCTTCCTTTATTTATAGAACAACAATATAATCTCTGTGTGTCCTAATGTAGCTTGACAGTTCACAATAAAAAGACATGGGAACAAAACATCTCACCTACACAGAAAATAGTCGGTTCTTCCTCATTACAGCCAATGAAATCACGTTAAAAAAGCAATTTTTTATTCTACTTCGTACAAGAATATACTCTCAAAGTTGAGACAAATGCGCATTTAGATGAACACTTTAATTTTTTGATAATTTTCATGGACCATCGATTTTATAAAAAAATGTTAGGACTCGGAAAAATTTGAAAAAACGCGATGAACTGTAACGGCCTTAATCAATCCAAAACTGCATTCAGTTCCTCTCTATCTCCACCAGTTTTCGAGACTTTTTATATTTTACCCAGGGAGACCAGATAAGGAGCACGAACTCATACGGGAAAATTGACAAAATTTGTCCAAGAAATGGCAGAAGTTGGGGTGGCGCTAGTGTTCCATGTGACCCAAGTGAATGTAACATAATAAATACGACAATACGAGTGAAGTAAGCAAATAAAATAACCAATTTTTGAGTTTAGTTTGAGTTTATCGGGGAGGTATACTAACCTAAAAACTAGAAGTCAAGTCAATAATTATTACAATTTGTTTTTATAATGGTAAATAAAAAGTTTCAAAAATAATTTAAATATGGTAATAGTATGTGAATAAGTGAATGACTGTCAACAGATTTAAAATAAAACAGTACGTTTGTGATCTGCATTTTCAATCTAATGATGTCCAGCAGTTCTATATTACAACTTGACCGAATAATGGGTTAATGTTATGGCAAAAGGTCGAATAATTCGGAAGTTGGAAGCAGCTTCTTTGATTCTCAATAAGGTAGAGAAATTTTTAAATGGAAAGATTTCAGAAGTGAAAATATTGTATAATTGAATGATGCATTGTTTCTTTATTTATCATGCAGCAGCATCAACAGCAAGAGCATCCGCTACACCAGCAACAACAGGTGAAGCAGTTAAAACAAGAGCAACAGTTGTAACAACAACAAGAACAGCAAGTAAATCAAGAGCAATAAAGTTACGATGAAATTATACTAGAAAGTGAGCATCATGTCCTGTATAATCTAATAAAAGAAAAATTCTGTTGGCATGTGATGAGGTCTCGACAAAGCAATGATGAATATGTTCAAAGCATAATATTGACAATAGCAACAAAGTATACCTTATTTATTTCTACATATTCTTGTAATTTATATTAAATGCATTAAATTCGTATCTTTATTATCATTACTGAATTGAATAAATCATTTCCAATTAGTTGCTGTTTCTTTCCTGTTAGTAAAAATTAGTAAAA